AAAACTGACATGCATTAATTCCATGGGGAAACAGTGTTTGAAAAGTTTTACAATAACATTAGTATGGAAAATTCGCTTTTGGACATGTTATCTGGCGGTCATCTTTTTTTTTTTCGCTTTTTAAAGGTTAACCTTGGCAGTTACAGCCTGGAAGATATCAGAAATGGATTCGCCCCAGAATCCTTTAGAAAAAAATATATGTCAACTTTTACTCACAAATTCCCGAACTTTCTTTTACACTCACGTTTGTTTATTGTTGTTTTCAGATTTCAGAATAGTCTACATGGTTAAGGCACTAGACTCTCAATCTGTGTGTTACGATGTCGAAATATGTAGCCGAACACGCTCGCACTTTCAGGCGTGGGGGCGTTATATCGTGATGGCCAATCCCATAATTCTTTAGTAAAAAGTAGCCTTACAGTTTACAGTAGATTACCTGTCTTCCCTCTAGTCTATCACTTCAAAATTAGTGACGGCTACCGCAGATAGACCTTGAGATAATGTGTGAAATTCAACAAATGAACTAGCACATTGGAGTCATTAGCAGTGAAACACCCGTTCGCTCGTTTCTATCAGTAAAGATGCGTAAGATCTCACGAAGAAAATGATCACAGCTCAAGAAGTGTATGTCAGAAATCTGATAATACCACAGAAATCGTTCAAATTTGAATTGAGTTGCATGAATGGATATAAAAAAGGGATAAAAGATCATTTTTTATTTTCTTAGGAAGAACAAGATTCACCCCACTTTCGTAACAGCGTTATTCATAAATTCATCACTCATACTTTTACACTAAGGCAAACAATTATCTCCCCATGAAATACCAAACGATGCTCAGTGAACTACTCACATCAAATAATGTGATGGACAACAAAAATTGCTACACTATATACGCATGTCATACCAGTGTTGATTGGTTTTGGGGGGTATATGTACAGTCAGAAATTCGTCACATAACATATTATGATTTTTTAAACTAAAATTTTGCATAAAAGTGATTAAAGTAGAATAATTTAAAAACTGTTTCCACTACACACTTAAAAGTTACTGCAAACTGCAGACATACTGGTGTTGTCTGTTTAATCAATCTCCTGTTTCCACTACACACTTAAAAGTTACTGCAAACTGCAGACATACTGGTGTTGTCTGTTTAATCAGTCTCCCATTGGCACAGCAGTATGTCTGTGGACCTATACTGCTAGAAACTGGATTTCGATACCCGTGATGGGCAGAGCACAGATAGCCCTTTGTGTAGCTTTGTGCTTAATAACAAACAACAACAACTGTTTAAACAACGCGCGATATGAAGGATGTGGGTGCTTGCAACGCAATAATAATAAGCTCAACTAGTCATATATAGAAATGAGTTTATTATAATACTTTTTTCTACTCGTAAGAGTGTAAGCACGAGCTCAAGATTAAGTGTTTTTTTTTTCAGGGAATGGTTTAAAATAAAAGGTTATGCAGGTTTGACTTTATTAATTTGTAGTCCAATTTGTTTCGCGCGTGAAGAAAACAACCAACTATTGAAACAAATTAGACCAAAGATTATTGAGGTCAAACCTCCATTACCTTTATTTCAACCTATTACCCGAATACTTAACCAGATATTGATAGTGTGAAAATTTTGATAGAAAGCTAAAAACTAAAAACATGGGTTCGGTGTTGGCTGAAGAGCTTTGTGTTGTTTGTTGTTAAGCGTAAAGCTAACCAATGGGCTGGTTATCTGTGTTCTACCAACAGCTCGTATCAAAACCCGGTTTTTAGCGTTCCGACTTATCGTAAACCATCGGGGGAGGGGCTGAGAAGTAACTCCGATGTTGTGCAAGCACTAACACTACTGAAATTTACAACTTAATCATGATCTAGTGCTTATTACGTCAGATAAACAGATAATTTCCCGTTATAAGCAGAAAGATTGCTTAATGTGTTACCATGCAGTGTGATAAGGTACCTTTAAGTACGGAATCAAGAATAATATAAAAGAGACCGTAAACTGTCGTTGGTGTATTAGAGCTAGTGTCCTGATTAGACTGCTAAAGCTGTCAAAGAGTCAATTTATACTTCTAAAGTTTTCGTCACAAGACTTAATCTTAATCAATAAAAGAGATCGTAAACTGCCGTTGGTGTATTAGAGCTAGTGTCCTGATTAGACTGCTAAAGCTGTCAAAGAGTCAATTTATACTTCTAAAGTTTTCGTCACAAGACTTAATCTTGGATTTCAAATTATTCTCATTGCCTGATTATTGAGCATAGATTTATTAAAGACTAGAGGAGGGTCTGAACAGATTAAAAGTTTTAAATGACTCGCAGTATCTTAATGGTAGGGTTTTGTTTTGTTGTTGTTGTTGTTGAAGTTACACCAGGGTTACCTGTGCTAGACGTACCTAATTTAGAAGTGATAGAATAAAAGAAAGGCAGCTAGTCAACACCACCCACCACCAACTGTTGGGCTGCTCTTTATCAACGAACAATAGGATTGACCTTCACTTTATAACGCTCTCACGGCTGAAAAGGGCGAGGATGTTCGGTGACGGGATTGGAACTCGCGATGCGCACATTGCGAGTCGAGTGCCCTAACCACCTGGCCATGTCAGATCTTCATGCCCCCCAGTGGCACAGCGGTATGTCTGCGGACTTACAACGCTATAAAACGGGTTTCGATACCCGTGATGGGCAGAGCACAGATAGCCCATTGTGTAGCTTTGTGCTTAACTTCAAACAAACAAACAAACAAACAAACAGATCTTCATAATGTTAAGGATTTAACAAATACCATGCAGTTATGAAAATCTGTACAAACTTGATTTTATGGATTTTTTTTTTCTTCGAGTTATTTTTGGGAACGATTTGCTTGTTGAAAACTTATTGTTTGGGCTGGTCGTTTTAATTTTTTAAACAATTCGTTTTGTTTTAGAGGGAACCAATTTACGGAGGAGAAAGATTTTAAGGAATTTTTACGTGTATGTGATGAGTAACTTGTTTAGAATTTATACGTGTAGGTGATGAGTAACTTGTTTATAATTTATACGTGTAGGTGATGAGTAACTTGTTTAGAACTTATACGTGTAGGTGATGAGTAACTTGTTTAGAACTTATACGTGTAGGTGATGAGTAACTTGTTTAGAATTTATACGTGTAGGTGATGAGTAACTTGTTTAGAATTTATACGTGTAGGTGATGAGTAACTTGTTTATATTGACTGGTAACATTTTGGTTCTTATCTATGTTATGTAACATTTTGTTGAAAATGTATATTCAAAATTATTTTCCGCATACAAAATGCTTTTAGCTAATGGAAAAGGGCCACTTACGCGAATGAATACCAAAACTATTTTAGGAACATAACTTGTTATAATAATTCGGTAAGATATAAAACTGTTTCAAAAGTAGTAATACTTAAAAAGTGTAGCACACGTAAGATAGTAAAACTTTAAGTGTAGTACAAGTAGCATATCAGTGACATAAAACAACAACAACGACGACTTCAGAACATGTAATTTGTTATCATATAAGGTTCACGAAAACTAAACGTACCATATAGCTCTACTGGCACGTGTTCACTAATGGTATTGATGTAATTCTAGAAGTAGGAGCTCACGGTTGCTCAGATACCGAAACAAGAAAAACGGTTACAGCTCCTCGCAAAAATAATGGAAAATCGACAACACATAAAACGGAGCCCAGAAAATCGGATGTTGTAAACCTCTCAAGTGACATCATTTTGCATACAAAGTTTGTATTTTCTTAGTAGTTACTATGTAAGCTTCCAGTCGAACATCTAAATCACGTGCATCTGAAAGCCTTCATTTGTTTAACCGAATAGAAAGCTACGCTTAACAGCCAAATTTTGGAATGATGTATTAGGTCCTAAACAAACAATCAACAGCTGGTTCCACTATAATAGTATTACCATAATATCGCAGCTAACACTATATACACAAAAAACAATATACACTGTTTTTTGCATCATCCCATATGGTGGTGTAATAGCACAAGTATTGAAACATAATAGCATTGAAGCATAATAGCACTGAAGCATAATAGTGCCCAGAATAAATAATAAAGTACGTATTTGTTTTTGTATCTGTTACAAACAACACATACAGTTGGTCACGCAAGCAATACAACAGCTTATACATACACTGTATTGTACACCAAAAACAATATAACAGCTCCTGTATTAGCCTCTACTATAAGGGTTTCCAAACTGGGGACTGGACCTAGGGGAGGGGGGCGCATAAAAGTGTCAAAGGGGCCGTAGCAAAATATATATATACACACACAATATTGTTAAAGTAGTCAGTATCTACAGGTTCATTAGGCGGGACCAAACTCAGAATGTTAAATGTTCTGAGGGCCTTATACAGAAAAATTTGGGGAACTTATGCTCTACTTTTCTGTCCAACATAAACAATAACAAAAATATTACCGAATAACACATTTTATGGTTACAGAAAAAACAAAACAAAACATGCATTATTGATGATCGTGTTTAATTTAACATCCTGTACTGTATTATCAGACAAAAGGGAACACTACAACAGACTCTTTTCTCACAAGAGTCTGCAGTATTCAGTAGTACTTGCCAATTTTATCCATTTCTGAAATGATTACAATTATACTTGTCATAGTATTAGGCTTATTACATTTTTAACTATTTTCGTTATCTACTCCCATACCTATTTTCAAGAATTAGAAGAGTGTATAATAATAGGCCTAATACTTTTGTCTTATATGGCAAGTATAATCGTAGTCATTCTTCGTCAGCTTGTACACGCCATAACAATATCTGAAATGTCCTAACCGTATTATTTGATAATGTTTGGCATGTTCTACAATCAATAACTCTCAACAGTCGTAGTCTAATCACAAAAGTACGTGACAGCTTCTTTGTATAACCACTACATATTTTGCTCTCTATTCGCCATACATATTTACATCTGAATTTTCATTTGTAAGGTGTACTAAACAAAATAAAACTGTATTTTTACCCTACCTTAATGGAATCGTAACACGCTATAACTCGGCCGTTCTGGACTTCAACATTTGCGGGCGGATGAGCAAACTTACATTCCGTATCGGGACGACTGCATTTGTTCCTTTGGTATTCTCGGCATACTTCAAGCTGCAACCAGCGGGAATCTTTCACGTTGTTTATCATGGCCATCATTAACAGCTGGTTCGGATAATACAGAGAGGGAACCTATGAGCAGTCCTGGACACAGGCAACTTTCTAAAGCTGACTGAGATATGTTTTGGCGGGAAAAGGAGTGTGAGACTTTGACAAGTAATAAAACTAACAATGCCGAAGGAGAGACAAACCAGTTTTTATTTAGTTTAATCTCGCTAGATAATCAATCGAGACAGACTTGAGCCTCTTAAGTGCAGTGTGTTCAGCAGGTCTTCGCAGAGATACAAGATTCAATGTCAGGTTAAAGGTCAGTTTTCCTTTCAAGTTGATATTACCGACATATCTTCTTCCAGGTAAACAAAATCACAGAAAATCGACGGAATGAATTGGAAGCTATATTAAACGAGCACAAACTGTACGAAAATTGTTACTGTAGAAACAAAATTTCACTTTTAACGGCGAAAACAAAGCTTTCTTCCAGCTAGACGTTTCAGAATAATGAGTTTTAGCATTCCCGGGGTCTGGGCGGCTGTAGTAGGACAGGATGGGCGAAGCTGGACGGGCAGCAGGGAGTCTGTTGCTGGGGTAGTAGTATCCAGACCTGAAATACAAACGAAAACTTTTACGGAACAATTTCATTTTAAAAATTATGATTTTTATATTCTATACTTTTCGTCTCACAAATAAGTTTATAAAAATTGTATAATTTTCTATTGCCTTCCTCTGTTCTTTGAACTTTCTCCGTGTTTCTATGCTCCATATAATAATAGATACTGGTTTAATTGTACAAAATACACTTTCCTTCGTTGTTTTAGACTATATATACAACATATGATTTATCATTATAAGTCAGCGTGTTCTGTTTTTGTTCTTTTTTTTTTGTATCATTATATAAACAGTCTCTGCTGTTAGTGTGTTTTATACAATTAGAAGACCCATGTTTGTCATTACTGCGTCGTTTTTATACAGACTACTTCCACAGTTGTGCAGTAGTCTTTAACATCTTTTGACACTGCACAACATTTGCAATAATAAATCAATGAATGATTTTAAAATGGCACTTGTGTAAAACATCTATTTACAATTAAAAGGAATACAACGTTAAAATTATTACATAAAAAATAGTTATTAAAATATATCGTATTAAACAAGGAAGATGGTCCAGGTCTAGAAATAATAAAGTACTGGACAGATGTGTTGTAACTCTGGATAGTTTAAGGCTAGATGGCGCTATTGGTATGTAAATAATTATGTAGGTATATAAGTCCCAACCATACCTTTACAGTTACCCCTGAAGATGGTGTCGTAGGACACCGAAATATATGTAGTCTTTTTTTTTTTAGGGCAAGTCCCTGTTTTTAATAAATATTTATTGTATAATGATTTTAATGTTGTATTCATTTTAATTGTAAATATAATAAATCAGTATTTAAGTGGGAGGCTTAAACTAGATGAAATAAAACACAATTACACTCATTAACAAACAACCAATGGTTCTTTCTTTACATAAAATAGTATTTAAAATGTACATATGTTATGGCCATAAATAATAATAACAATAAACAGATGCAGATTTTGAAGGCTTATTTTGGAGTAACTGGAAAGATGGCTAAACGAAGAGACACTCTTGTATGTTATTACTTATTGGCACTCGGCCTGATGACCACCAAACCTTGGTAATACGTTTCGTAGTCAACATTATAAGGCTTAACAAAGATACACCTTACGAGAAAAGCCTAAACGAAAAGCTAACCAAACTAAAAATGAAAAATGTCTCGATAAGTCAAAGTGGTACTTTCATCACCGTAGTTATGCCAACCAAAAGATAGTATCCATTAACAGCTCTATCTCCGTCGAAGGAGATACCAGCAGAAATATATCTGTTTGGCAAAACAGTTTGGTGGGGGGTGGAGAGAGAGAGAGACACTTCTGACGAGGCCTTGGGTGCGAGTTTTCGCACACCATGGCTATACATGAACCTAAAAACTACTCTTAAGTTTCTGTAAGCTAAATTTAACCGGGAAGGGAGAGTTTTCTGTAGTATAGTCCAATTTTCGTATTCTGTTCTATGTACCATTAGACCAACTATTTCCATGTTTGTTGGTTGTGTTATGCTCTACATACACCGTGTTTAATATTACACACTCAGTTTTAGTGCTTGGTACTGTAAAACGTCCAACCATCATACTCCACTGTTGTTCTATATACCATTAGACCAACTATTTCCATGTTTGTTGGTTGTGTTATGCTCTACATACACCGTGTTTAATATTACACAGTCAGTTTTAGTGCTTGGTACTGTATACGTCCAACCATCATACTCCTTCGTTGTTCTATGTACCATTAGACCAACTATATCCATTCTTATTGGTTGTGTTATGCTCTACATACACCGTGTTTAATATTACATAGTCAGTTTTAGTGCTTGGTACTGTAAAACGTCCAACCATCATACTCCACTGTTGTTCTATATACCATTAGACCAACTATTTCTATTCTTGTTGGTTGTGTTATGCTCAACATATTATTACATGAACTGTGTTTAATGTTACCACATTCACTTTTAGTATCTGGTATCCAACCATCATATTCCACTTTTGTTCTGTGTAGTACAATATTAACTGTTTTCACAGTTATTGTTTTCTGTTTTGTATAGCATCATAGAACCTTACTGCATTGTTGCTTTATTATATTTTACGTAGTACCAATTTCCTTCGTTAGTGTTATTTCTGTTATTGTTATTGTTCGTTATTGTTTTCTGTTTTGTATAGCATCATAGAACCTTACTGCATTGTTGCTTTATTATATTTTACGTAGTACAATTTCCTTCGTTAGTGTTATTTGTATATATATTATTTTAACAATCTTCATTGTATATTAATTTTCATACAGTACCGCACGTGTGCATGTTTCTGTGGTACTGACTAGTATATAAGAGTAATAGTGTGTAGTATAGAACCAATCGTTTTCTACAGTTTAGCGCTTTGTGATAAATTTAGACATTTATGCTTATTTGACTGACATCTTGTCCTAATTTATAAATTCGGGAAATCAGTCTAACCAGTTAGTTTAATTGTTAATTATTTAATTAAAATAATTTCAACCATGCAATACATTTCTTTCCTACCCCTTTTTAATTTCTAATAAAACCTGTTTAGCACCACCCTATAGTGTAGCCCTTTCGTCGATGAACCCGGATACATGAATCTCAAGGGCATTTTTTTCATGGCTTTGTCGATCTTTCGCTATGGAAATCAATGAAGTCTGGTCGATGTCTGGCTTTTCCGTCCTTTCAATAATTACGGCAACAAATTTCCATGGTTTCGCAGCAGTAATAAATATGAAGCATCTTAATTTTCTCCGTACTAACAAATATCTGTTAAATTTAACCTAAAGCTAACTATAGATTTACAGCAAATAATAATTATTATTATTTTTTACAAGTAATAGAAGTACAGTTGCTTCGCTGACGTTTTAAAGATTAATTGCAATTATCATGCATTATCTAGTTTTAAAATAAGAAATACCATTGAAACGAATACAAGTTGTAAAAATTACTATAAGGTTGTGAGTTTTGAACCTACAAATTGAATGTTAGGGTTAGGTTTGATAAAATATTATTTTTTCTTTGCACTTTTCCACCTAATTCTTTAATTTTAGTTTACTTACACACTAGATGAGTTTAGCACCGAACCTGGTACTGCTTCTCCTTTCTCCAATTATGGAGTCCCGTCGCAGCACGTTTGTCAGTGCGGAATACAGGTAACGTGGCTCCATCTCTACTTCCGAACCACCTATCACAGGTCAGTTGCATTGGCTTTTACTCTATTATAATTAATTATTGTTCGTATATATATTTTTATTTATATTTTTACTTTTTAGGATATTTAATACCAGGCACCAAATGTGAGATCATGTACATATTATTACTACTACTACTATTACACACTTGAGGATTTTGGCACCAGCCTCGACACAGGTTTTCCTCCTTCCAATAATCCTCTCAGAGTCCTTATAGAAATAATACCCAATTAAATCTGATTTAAGTAGCACCTGCCCTTTCTACGTGCTTTTACACTCACTCCACTTCTACACACTTTCTTCCAGTTGACCACTGTGACCTCTGTTATACCTCTTCCAGGTCCCTGGTCTTACATACTATTCCACTGACGACATCATTTGGAGATCTTGTGAGATTGCCCAAGGGCTGTCTGTCCCTTACCATCTAGGTGGTCCATCTTCTCGTTAAACAATGTGCTGCTGTGGCCTGGAATATAGCTTTTCCATCATCGATATTAAATTACATCCACTTATCTAACCTTTCACCTAAGCCAAGAATAACATTCTGAAGAATCTGTGGTAGGCTTCAGAAAATTTGGGAAAGTAACAGGATTATTCACTGCTAAATCAACTTCGTACATGTTGTGAAACACGCGGCCTTGAATAAAACTTAGTGACTAAATGTTGATTATGACTCAACACTACTCAAATTACTCAGTCCTTGTGATGTCAAAAAGTTTTTCTCCCAACACTTATTACTCATGCCTTGGTTTACTAGCTAACTGCCAGCATAAACCTTCCTAGTGGTCGTTCATAACAGTATACAAGTTTCTACATAGTTGACGTTGACAATAAGCAATGGCATAGTAAGGAAACATTTAATGATTAGTGTTCTAAAGATATTTAAGAAAATCTTTACTTGACATTTAATGGTGACACGATCATACTCACTATTGTTACGACAAGATCATACCTACTATTACTGACGGCCAGGGCCGCCTTAAAGTATAGTACCGCTCCAGGGAAATAGTTTTTTAGGCGCCCAACCTCCACGTGGTCACTCTAGAAATTAAAACTTTGTATCAAATACGTCATTAATCACATGATGAGCCACACGATCGCTCAGCGCTCTTGATTGGTATCTCGATCAGGTGCAGTGGGTTGCGGCGCCCCCGCACTACAAGATTAAATAATAACATAATTTATCAATATTTTGTTCACCCTTCCCTTGGTGGGTTTGAGGTCTTAAAGACCTGGGAGGGTCACGCGTTTTTGTTGTCACTTTCGTTCAATGTTCTTAAATTTGCCGCTTTAGGTTGCTGCCTATGCGTAAATGCGGCCCTGATGATGGCACGATCATATTTACAATTATTACGGCACGATCATATTCAATGCTAATGACGACATGATAATATTTATTACGGTGGTATGACTTTGACTCACATGAAGCTATTAATGAAAATTAACGCTGTTCATCAGCTGCTGTGTATCTTCACGGTGTTTGTTTGTTGGTTTTTGAATTTCGCGCAAAGCTACACGAGGGCTATCTGCGCTAGCCGTCCCTAATTTAGCAGTGTAAGACTAGAGGGAAGGCAGCTAGTCATCACCACCCACCGCCAACTCTTGGGCTACTCTTTTACCAACGAATAGTGGGATTGACCGTCACATTATAACGCCCCCATGGCTGAAATGGCGAGCATGTTTGGTGTGACGGGGATTCGAACCCACGACCCTCAGATTGCGAGTCGAGCGCCTTATCCACCAGGCCATGCCGGGCCCATCTTCACGGTGAACCGAATGAATTAAATAACAGTTAAAAAC